TTATTGTACCCAATGCCCCATGGGTCATCTCGTTAATGTTAAACAAGATTGGGGGACGGTTCTGCTTGAACAAACGCTGGCCCATATGTTTGGCCGCCTCCTTTAATACTCCACCTGGCATGTGTTCCTCTTCAGCAGGCATCGCCAATGTAAACCCCTCCTGGCAGTTACTGCTGTCTGAGCTCGAACTCGTGTGTGTCAATACTGGTGCCTTGTTTGCTCTTGCCTGCGGTTCAACCGATCTCCTGGTTCGTGGGCGGTGGGGAGGACAGGCTGAAATTGATGCCAATCTAGCTGGCGTGAATAATTACCATTAAAGCCTGTGATATTGCCCTGGCCTGACAAACTGAGGCCTAGGACTTATTGAAGAATGCAGCAGGCTGGAGGTATTTTTTTCACGTTATTAGCTGCACCGTCAGTCACTTGCCAAGAAGCTGCGGGAAGACTCTAGTGGCGAGGTTAGAAAATGCAGGGCTTGTGCTGCTGTCTCTGGTCTCTATTCCCATGGCATTAAAGGCATAGGCAGAAGCCAGGGGCTCCTGGCTGCTACTGTGGTAGTGGCAGCAGCCAGAGTCTTGGGCCCTTTAAATTGCCATCCGAGCCCTGGGCAGCATACAGTATGGGTGCACGGAGGGGGCTCTCTGGCCCCACCCCTTCTGCCTGAGGCCCCGCCCCTTTTGGGAGTGCTGAGCTGGCCCCCTCCACCTCTACCCAGGGGCCCTGTCTGCTTCCCTGGGCAGAGGAGCTATAGGGTCTGCGTTCAAGGCGTGTCTTGACTACATTATTCAGCAGGGTGCAGAGAGTTGTTCCAAGCCCATTTCTACCCTATTGGAAAAACTGGGCAGATGTTAATTGAGACTCATGCGTACCCGTTTCCCCTGTGTGCGCTGTTTCCCAGCCCCGCTCATCTGAACCAGCAGACACCCCCCTCCTCTGCCCAGTCACCTTCGTGCCAGTTTTGTTAATTTGCTACACTGGAACATCTCTGTTGCTAATGTCCAAAAGTGTGTGTGTGTGTGTCACACTGCGAGCTAGGGGTATGGTTCCCCCGCTCACACCAGTGCTTATCGGGCTAGTGCTAGTATCAAGAGCAGCGCAGCTGGGGAGGCCCCACAGAAGCAGACTTGTGTGAAACCGGGGGTGGGTACTCAGTAGGGCTCAGCCATCGTTCTGCGGCCTCTGCCCAGGCTACAGATCTAGCTAGCAGGGGCAGGGAATTGCACCCCAGGCTCACGGTGTAACGTCACCCGCAGCGCTGCTTGCAACTGCCAGCAAGAGCAGAAGGCTGGTTCCTTTAGTCCTTTCAGATGCAACAAACAGCTCTAATGTTGAGGACCCTACAGACAACTCCCAGCTCGCGGTGATGTCTGAAAGCAGCGTATTGCCCACCCCAGTCCTTTCTGGTTCTGTTTGCAGGCAAAGTCGATGAGTCGCTAGGGAGCGTCAAATGGTCTGTCTGGGGTGATACACAGGAGTAGGGGCTCCTGGCCTGTGGCATGTGGGTGGCGTCGCGGCTTTCCAAAGGGACTGCAAAGAGGAAGGGTGTTTGCATGTGAGGCTGTTTTGCTGCTTTCGGAGGTAGAAAGGTGGCCTAAAGGGAATGTTTTGCATATGTGTTTTTCCTTAGGAATCTGGGGCTTTGTTCTGTTAATGTGGTTGGTGTTGGAGGACTCAGATACCTCACAGGCCTGGGTCAGCAGCTCTTGGTGCTAAGCCGTGTATCCTTTCTCCCAGCAAATGCAGCCTGTCACCCAGAGGGGGCCAAGGGAACGCGGGGGCTGTTCTGTAGAACAGTGGCGATTATCCTGATGTGCAGGGAAGAACTCTTGGTCTGCCAATGGGAACATGGCGGCGGCGTTCTACGGTGTGCCTGCGAGCCTTGCTCGGGTGGCTGGGTCAGAGCCGTGGTGCACGTCAGGCTGTGACTCTGCCTTCCTGGCGAGAGAGGGCTGGCCAGTCAGTGCTTGGGCAGTAGGACGAGATGGGGGCTGACGTCTTCTGAACTGTGGAAGGCTCAGAGCAGGAAGAGGCCCTGGA